TTTAGGGTTAGGTTTAGGGTTAGGTTAAGGGTTAGATTAGGTTTAGGGTTAGGTTTAGGGTTAGGTTTAGGATTAGGATTAGGTTTAGGGGGGTTAGGTTTAGGTTTAGGGGTTAAGCGTGCAGCGTGCTTTTTTCGTCGCGCTGTGATGACGTCAGCTACGCGGTTTTGTCGAGCGCGCTTTAGTCGAACGCGGTTTTGTGGTGGAACCGTTATTGGAGGTGGTGCTATTCTACTTGGAAGGCTGAATCCCATCCCATCCCAACTATCATGTCTGTTTTATCTCTTGCAAGAGTATGAGAGTTGAAAATTGAGGTAAGAACCAGTCCCTGTTTTGCAGCCAACTCCTTTTTTCAGTTTCTTATTTAGAATCCCAAAGGAGAGGTTAATCATATGTTTACCTTCCCACTGAGGTTTGCATAATGCATAGAGCCATTGTTCAGGTAAGATAATTTACAATAAACCAGGGATGGAAACCATAATTGAGGGTTTTGCTGTGGTCTTGACTTACGCTACTGTTAAGGCTTGGATCTCACACTAGGCACAATCTGCTGTGATTTAAAGCAGTGGTTAATATGAACCCAATCATAGTATCTTGATTAATCAATAAGCTATGACGTTATATGTTGTATTAAACACAGTCCAAGATTGACATGCTTACGTTTGTCTAATAAGAATATGGTACCAGAGCTTGAAAAGACCAGATTCGGGGACCTGTACTTACGGAAGTTTCCTTACAGAATGTATTCTTGAAATGATTTTTTTATCAGTGCCACTTTAGATAATAGACTATAAATATTTATGCAGTTGGTTTGCATAAAACATTCAAAAAATAGCCAGCAGATTAGTCTGGACTGCCCAGCACATTAGGCTAAAATGTAAATAGCTGATTTGGGATTGTATGTGAATGCCTCTTCTGACCTTGGGAGGGTGTGATAAGATTATTCAGTTGCAATGGATTGCAAAGAGCAGCCTTATTTGAGAGAGAAACACAAATGGCAAAAGGTGATCTAATGTGACATTTTGTTTACATCCCAAAACATTTTGGAAGTTAATTGAACTGATGACCGTCCCCCCCCCCCCTCTTCGAGGGCTTGGCTAATACATCCCACGCTCGGTATTATGAAGTCTATTATTCCAAGCATCACTTTGATCTCTTCACAAGAGTTTGTCGTAGGCGGGGGAATTGTCGCAAATGAGATTGTGCCGCATATCTTTGGAAAACCACAACATAGCAACTCCTAGATAACAAAGAGCGGCTCTTCTCTGGAGCTCTTCCCGAGCCTGCCTAAAATCGCTGTCTCCCGTCTTGGGTCGCGTTCCCAGGCTGGCTGGGTGACAAGACAGTGAGTCACAAAGTAGCCCGCGGGTGTTTCAGCCTCGCCGGTTACCCCAAGCCCAGGCGGTGTGCTTCCCTCCCTCAGGCAGCCCGGCCAAGTAAATCCCGTCCATTCAACTCATATCCAGGTAGCTGCAGGTAAACGTGTCCCGAAGAATCCAGGCGACAGCCCGGGGCCGCTGGGAACCTGTTGAGCGAGCCCTCAAGAGGCGTCCGCCGCCGCCTGCTCTTCGTTAATCTCGAGGCGCGGCCCCTGAGGGAGCGTGTGCTGCCTGCGGGCCGGCCAGGAGCAAACCCCCCGGTGCTGTCCTCGCCTCACCCACGCCGGAAACAGGACCGGCAGTGCAGCCCTGGCCTTATAAAGGCAAAAACGCGCCCGAGGGGGCGAGTGCGAGCGTCTCTCTCT